GTTGTAGATGATTGTAGCGTGCGGATTAAGGAATACAACAAATTGAAATTAACGTTTCCAGGAGTTCCACCGAGTATGTCGTTGGCCTTCCGTAATGCAGATGGTTTTGTGTATTTTCTGTACTCCGAGAGATATCTCGCGTTCAGCGAATTCACTAGTTTTATGCACTCTGCGGGACCTTTTAATATGCGTTTAATTGATATTCATTGTCCGGATATAAACATCTTATACAACTTAAAGTCCCTAGTTTCTCAACTTGAAAAGTATGAACACGCTCTACATTCAGATTAGATGTAGTATGTGTGCGCGTTGAGAGTGGGGGTATTTGCTTTATTATTTTATGCGAGGGATATATATAAAACGCTACATGGCAACCGTACAGTCAGTCAGTTATTCACTCTCGTTGTGATCATCCTGTGTGCTACGGGTTGTCGATCTTTCTCCTCTTCGCAAAGAACAGCTCAACGATGTTTCGCTCGATGGTTCCGATGAAGCAACAACAACAACAACAACCTTCCATCGATCCTCAACACGAGTCTCAACACAACGGTGTGAAGAGAAAGAAATTTGATCATGGGTAAGTATATTTTTTTTATTTTTGCATTCTTTTGTTGTTGCTTCTATTTTTATTATTTTGTTTTAATTCACAATAGACTCATGTTTTAGTTTTCTTATTCACAGACAATGCAATGGCATCCAACCAACGCGACCTATGCGGATACTGAGTCGCAAGTACATATTAACCAAGACGGGATATAAATATTTCGAGCTCGGCATCGGTATCTCATCCAACGATGCTTCACCAACCGTTGATCTGGCTCTAGGTGACAACAATGGGAACGAAGTGCTTTTGTCGCCGGAAATGTGGAACACGTTGTTGGATAACGAACGAGTCATCACGTTGTATTTGTCTGGTCAGAGCGATGTGCAGCCGTCGATTCTTGTCGACGATCTAGCGGTATCGTTCAGCTTGATAAACACCGCGAGGATTATACGTCTGTCTACAAAAACCGGTCGCATATTACTTTCCCACCAATCGATGTGCAACTTATTCAACTTAAAACATTGCGTGGCATGCANCATTGCCTACTTGAACAGTGTTGTTGTTCGCGTGCGAGACAGATTGTCGCGGTATTTCGCGATCTTGTCTGAAACATCGGATCCCGCGAGCTTCGCAACTGCTGTCGCACAGAGCGGTTGCTTCGACGTCAACGATATTGTTGATTGCGAACTAATGGCTGTATGTTACGGTGTTGCCCCTTAATATAAATTATTATTATTGTTTAATTTTTTATTTATATCACAATATGTTTACAAAAACATAAATAAATTTCCTATAATCTTTAATAACATAAAGTATTTATTTCACATTCCTAACACATTGCGTTCTATTACATCCTTTTGCTCCACTAGTCCTCAAGATGTAAACATATATCTAGGTTGTTACTTGTTTGCGTTTCAAGGTTGTGNGTTATCATGGGAAGTGCGTCATCAAACCGGAAGCGGCTGATNGCTTAGNGNGATAAGANCAGNCTCACTTCCNGGAAATTGCGGTTTTTCTCGGAATTATTTGTTTTCCGGGAAATTGCGGTTTTTCTCGGAATTTCTTATTTATTTGCTGCGCAATTGCGAACTGCGCGCAATTTATTTTTATACGCGAACCGCTTCCGGGAAATTTGCGGTTTTTCTCGGAATTGTTGTGTTTTACTGCGCAATTGCCATTTAAACGGTGACGTCATCGTTCCGAACGACCTTGAACACGTTTGAACCTGTTCGAGTTCTATTTTTAGCGATGACGTCATCAATATTCTTGCGGTTTTTCTCGGAAATTTCTTTATTTTACTGCGCAATTTATTATTATAATTGGGAAGTGCTATTGTTTTTAACGGTGACGTCATCAACCGATCGACCTTGAACACGTTCGAACATGTTAAAACCAATGGCGTAACCAATATCTTAAATAAATACAACTCGCTCTAATATTNCATGCTCCATTTTTACGGCTCGCCGTTAATTGGCTAATTCCGGTGGAGCCGATAAGAACGCTCCGCCGACACCACCCACACTCATACGTTATCTCATCCGCAACACCCAAGTCCTGCTCTCATTATTACNAATATGTTTCCATTGACTCCTCCTTCCCCTCCCTTTGCGGTTTTTCACAGAAAGGCTTACATTGAGTCCTCCTTCCCCCTCCACCTCCCTCGCGCAGTTACCCCTCCCTCCACTCCCCGCGGTTCCCCCTCCCATCCCCCNNAGTTTCCCCCGGCCACCTCACCCCCCCTCGGAGCCCCTGGAGCAGAACCCCTCTATCTTAACTACTGCTATTATATATAATATTGGCGCATCACCGTTCTAAGGAGGTTTATTGCAAGATTTTTCAAGGAGCTTCAATCTGCAACTCGGAACGAGAGAGAGAGAGAAAGAGAGAGAGAGAGAGAGAGAGGGAAACTAAAACGGAGGCGTTGTCTATTAGTCATATCAAGATTACCGGGGATGAGCGCATGTTACTGCATGTAAGGAGCCTTGCCAGGAAAGCCACGCGGTTATTCGACCCAACGACGGTCGGCGAGCAAGCAAAGTGGAATGAGAAGAACGGCGGAACGGACCTCAGCAAAGCGCCCTCCGCTGAAAATACGCCGCCCTAGCCCTGCTGTTGCATTGCTTTGTCCCTTCAGCTGCTTGCTTTATTGGTATTAATATTGGTGCGTGTTGGCTCAGTGGACCTTTTTCAGGTTAGTCCATACGCCATTGTAGAAGTTTTTTAAAGCTGCTAAGTCAAGTAGACCCCAAGATATCTGAAGGTGTATTAATTGATTATTNTTATTATTNGTCACAAGGAGAGGTTGTGCAGTACGCTACTANCACGGCATTATTTCACAGTGCCCATCTGTGTCGGACTCGTGTTCAAGATGTTGTGACTATGATCGCCTTGTGAGAGAAAAAGTAATTCGGGATTACANCCGAATTATTAAGTATTGGAATTAATTTGTAGCGTTTTACAAGAGATGGCGTAGGTAGTACAGCATTTCGTTGTTACCTACAGTAATGTATTTATCGTAAAACAGCTGTAATTGGACGTCATTTGCTTTACATAACTTTTTTTTGAATTGTAAATAACAACACTTTATAATTTATTGAATATGTCAAAATTTGTGCCAAATAAAGTGTTTTTGCGGGGAGTTTTACTTAATTACTTTAATATGAACAAAAGTGCTACTGAAGCTCATCGTATTTTAGTGGAAGTGTATAGTGAACATGCTCTAGCTGAGCACACGTGTCGGAAGTGGTCAACCATCCGGCCAACCATCAACATCAAAGCCAAATATCCATGGGTTTAAGTTCCTGCTCTGTATTTGGTGGGATCAGACGGGTGTGATTTATTATGAACTGCTGGAACCAAATAAAACCATAACTGGGAATCCTTACCGACTACAATTGATGCGCTTTAGCCATGCATTGAAAGAAAAACGGCCGGACACTCCAAAAGACACGACAAAGTCATTTTGCTGCACGACAATGCTTGTCCGCACGTCGCAAAACCGGTACAAACGTACCTGGAAACACTTAAATGGAAAGTCCTACCCCACCCGCCGTATTTTCCAGATATTGCTCCTTCTGATTACCATTTGTTTTGTTCGATGGCTCATAGCCTGTTTGAGCAGAAGTTCACTTCTTACGAAAATTGTCAAAAATGGATTGATTCGTGGATTGCATCTAAAGACGAAGCGTTCTTCCGACACGGTATTTGTTCCTTGCCCGAAAGATGGTCAAAAGTAGTAGAAAGCGATGGGCAATACTTTAATTAATGTAGTTTTTGATTTTCATTTAAAATAAATAATTNTTTTCATTAAAAAAACGCTACAAATTAATTCCAATTTCTAATAATTTTTGGAGACCCGATTCAGCTCGCCGATCAACCAATAAACTCGGTTGAAGAAAACCGGCCCGGAAAATATCCTTAGGTGATGAGCGGTTTCGAACTCGAGACCTCCAGGTTCGCCCCTGCACTCAGGCCGCGAGACCACTGGGCCGGTCATAGTGCTGCTTGCTTTACTGCTGCCGGACACGAGCTGCTATATTCGTACGCTGCACTCCTGAATGCGCCGCTGCATGTAATCGTGAACGATCCTGCAAGCTTTTGTATTTTGCGGCCCGTTAATCCTGCCGCCTAGCGCGAGCTTGCGAGCCGTGTTACGCAATTCCGTAACCTGATTGGTTAACGCGACCTACCCCACGCGATCTCAGCGCTATTCGACGTATCGACCGCTTATTGAGCGAGATCCTTGCTCTCTTGGTTGCTGATAACCGTGTCGTACGGACGCTTTTCCTTCGGGCTCCCGTATCGTGAATCTCTCGTGCCGCGATAAAGACTTGTGACGATCTCACTGTTGTTCGTGTGCAGTGTGCCCAGTTTTGACTCTCTTACAGCACGCTGCAGCAAGTGGAGAGGATACGCACACAGGCGAGCAGCCGTGTACGTGTGCGCTCAATGCTTCGGCCGTCTTTGTGCGGTAGAAGAAAACAAATATATGTCTCCTGACTCTTTCTTTTGACATAGCTATAGCGTACGCGGCTAGCGCGAGCGGCTAAGCCTTGCGCTAACAGCTGTTTATCATTTTTCGCCGTTTGTCCTTGTTCTTGCACTTATTACTTACAGAAACATTTTGATTAAATAAAAAAATATTAACACCATAAAAGAATAATTAAAAAAATAAAACATATGAGGAGCATAAATGAAAAGTAAAGAATATAAATCCAGTCTTGGCCAATATGTACGTCTTTTTGTTTTAAACAAAAAAAAGAAAAGTATACTTAATTATATATTTAGCAAAACTATTTCTTACAGAAATGCTGAGTCATATTACTACTAAAATCAATATACTAGTATTTTAGTAATAAAAAATTGTTTTATTATTTTTCTGTAAGAGTTCCAAATAATTAGCAAACTTTTTTTCGAAAACTATTAATATAAAAAATATGGTTGTTATATTTTGTACAAGTTCTTAGGATGTCCTACACATATCCTGTAAGAATCCTTGGAACGTTCCACATAATANCCTAAGAATAATTCAGGGACTAAAAAAGGCGCTCATTTGCTNTTCCTCAGAACATTTAGAGGAGATCCTGGAATTAAAATAGGATATCTATACAAGATATCTGTTTTGTATAAGATGTCTTGGATTTTCAGAAGACGTCCATGTGTTATTTGGGTATATACGTACGCTTGCTCTATTGAATTTTTGCAAAAGAATAAGGAACTACAAAGAAAACTTCCCTAATAGAGCAAATTGTGAAAATTTGCACAAAAATGGCATCATAAATAACGACGATTCTGCAATAAGTGCACTAAGATAATTTGCCATACCGCAACAGTTTTGTCGAAATAAAATTTTGTGAATAATATTTGTCAAAAATTGCGAAAAAGTTGTTATACCTTTTAATAAATATATTTATGAATTACGTTGATTTCTTCATATGCAATTATATTTCTACATATTCTAAACAGCACATAGAAAGTTGTTTCTCAATTATTGGGCAATTTCTTTTGGAAATTAAGTTTGCAAATATACTGCTAAGATGATTCGCATATCCTTATTCTTTTGCCGAAATAGTATTTGAAAAGTAATTTTGCAAACAACTACAACTATTCTATAAAAGATCAATGTTTTTACATGTAATTCCTAAGATATATCTGTATAATTGCAAATTACAAGTTTAGTGTAAGATTTTGTCACATAATTTTGTAAATGTTTTCCTATCAGGGTTGAGAAGTGAGAGTATAACAATTTCGACGACTTAAGGACTCTGCTGCATACTTTAAATAAAATCAAGATTTTTACGAAGCTCATGCAAGAACTTTATATATATAATTTGTAAATTTTTACTTTTGTACGTTTAAGTTTATACAAAAATCTGTGTCAGATAAATCTCACAAAACTTATCTTTTTTTAAAAAAAAATAAGAAAAGTACACATGTAATGTATCAAATTTTTTACAAAACTTGTTTTCCAAAAAAGTGATATAAAAAAGTATCATCAAGTAAACTGTACAACGTTATTACATTATTAGAAAACAATATAAAACAAAAGAAAGTTTACTACCTAGCAAACAATTTGAGCAGTATGTGGGGGGCGTGTTCCGTTTGACCACAGTACGATTCGACACCGATCGATTCGACACCAAATTATTGGACACAAAATTATTGGACACAGATTTATTC